GAACATGTCGATACATTTTCGAAGATTTATTACATAAAAAATTTCCACCTCGTAAACCTAAATTTTTAGAAGGTTTATATCTTGACAAGTATAATGAAGAGTTAAATTTAGCTTTTGAATTCAGCGATAGTCAACATTATCAGATCGTACCTTTTTTTTACCTGCAAGGTTAAAAAGATTTGGATGCATAAATTCGATGTGATTGGAAAAAAAATCGTTATGTTATAGAAAAGGGGTAATCCTTATTACAATACCCTATTGCATCGTTGACTTAAAAACTTTTATAAAAAGCACCTTATATATATTTGGTTATCTTCCAATATCCACCTAGGGGGTAACATAGGCTTTTCCTTAATATGCATTAATTGTTCTCTAACAAAGGGACGCTGAGGTTCTGAATCATCTAAATAATATAAAATAGGCATTGGAGGGTTTTTTCCAACAACAATTCTCCAGATCTTATGCAGGCTGGGAGACTATATCAGATCTATTATTCTGCGTCATTCGAAAGGATCATTTTTTCACTCTCCAGGAGCGAACAAAAATCGGATAGTAGTACCCTTTGGTAGTTGTGATTCATCAACACCTATTGGGCGATTATATTTTACTGATGCTTCAGAATATATCCGCTCAAGTTTTGTGGCGTCATTAGGACTCATCCCAATTAATCGAGTTGAGCTATCATTCATATTATTAACAATTTTTCTTGCAAACCGCTCACATTCTCTACAGCGCTTGCCAGTAGGTAGGAGAAACTCTATCGAATACTGATTTTTAAAAACTCTATATTTGAATAATCCAGCATAACGATTGATCATTGTGAAACTTGTATGCCTGAAACGTGCTATAATTCTTCAGATTTCAACGCCATGTTCATCTATTAATAAAGTTACGTATCCCATAAACTCAGTACCCATATCACATTGCATTTTTCGAGGCCAGTTGAGAGGCTTATCGGGATTATCGTATATACTCTTAAATGCTTCCGCAACTTCCTTACTGCTCTTTGATATTAAAAAAAATGAAATATTTATATCTAGTCACGCAGTCTATAACCAATAGTACATAGTAATATATTGGGCCATCATCTAGTAAATTTGTATCCACATCTTCATCATATGATATTTCGATTAAATCACATTGGTACACAGTATTTGGCTTCATGATTTTAGAGTAACTGGCATAAGGTATATGCTTTGGTGAAGGATGAAAAATTTGATACATTGCCTGCCTATCAAGCCATTTTTTTACATCAGTAAATGGAAAGCTGTAGCCGGCTTTTTTACAAGTGTTCCATAATCCCTTAGTATTTTGATAAAGACCCTCAGGACAATAATATAGTTTTTGCAAAGCAAGATGCCGGTCTAAATCATGAGCTTTCTGAAGATCAATAAAAATTGTAGGCTTTTGTTTTGCAATCTCCTTATCTAAATCATGGGCCTTCTGTGGGTCAATATAAATTACAGGTTGTTCTATTACTTATTGAAAAACAATAAAACTTCGTTTCTAATCTATTATAGTTAGTAAAAAAAAACATGAAAGAATTAAGACAAACTAATCAGGAGCTCCATGAGGAAATATCATGTTTAGCCCAATCAAATAGGAGCATAGAACAACGAGTATATACTTTAGAAAGGGCTATTGCTATACGTGAAGAAAGAATCTGATTTCTTGAAGAGGAACTAGAAAATACTATCGAACTTTCTAATGAAGAAAAATATGAAATGATGAAAGAAATCCTAAATTTAAAAAGAATTGTTCGACAACTTGAAAAAGAAAATAAACAAAAAGATAAAGAAATATCTATTAAGGATAAGTTAATAACGGAATTTGATGATTGTGAAAAAAAATTAAAAATCAGAATTCGAGAAATATCCAAATCAGCAGGTAATACCCCAAGGCATTGAATTATACATCAAAATTAGTAGATGAAAATGAGCATCTTAAGTGTGAAATAAGTAAATTACAATATATTCTTATAAATAGAAATAATAAAATAGATCTGCAAAAAGCACGTATAACTGATTTACATTGTCAAAATTTTGCATTAGCATTATTAAGATATCGGGATAAATTAAAACTTATAAATATTCAAGAAGCTTTACAAAATTCACAAATATGGAATTCTAATGTTATAATATCTGAAAATAAATCTGATGAAAATTCACAAGACAGTAATATATCAGAAGAAATGTCAACAATAGTTGAGTTAGCCGATACTATAGATGGATATTTGGATAATCCAGGAACAAATAGAGAGATTTTATCTAATCAAATAAAAAGGATTACAAGACAAATACGCCGTAAAAACAATAATCTACAAAATGTTGAAGCGGAATGAGATTTATCTATTCAAGCTTTCAATAATGAACAAGAAGAGCGACATCACTGGTGGGGATTGCTAAGCAATTAGAAAGGAGGATGCAAAAACGTGTTGATACTTTATTGCTTGAAAAACTTATACTTAATTTTAAAAACCGACAATATTTTCAATAGTTACAAAGGTGTCGTACACATGGTAGGGATCTACAACTTAGGTTGGATACATGTCAAGATGATTTATTTCTTTGTAATTTGCTGTTAGATAATAAATAGGATAAATGGAAAACTCGGGCTCGAAATAATGAACAATTAATTTTAAATTTACAAGAACAAATTTTATTGTTACAGAATAATCAACAAAATAGGATAATGGCAGGATTTCCACAACCATTTTTTGATTGGGATGATAGTATTCCGGATTTTTTAGCAAAATTTAGATTATATTTGCAAAACCAAGGTGTAGATCCAGCAGATAATGTGGGGATCCATCAACGGGAAAAGAAGTAGCTATAGGATATTTAAGAGGGTGTATGAGAGGAAGAACTTTAGAATGGTTCGATGACGAGATCACTACAAAGGCAAATTGGAAATTAACTAATCTAACAGATGATACTGGACAAGCTAATTTAGTAGCTATAAACGGACGTACAGCCATCCAGATAGGTGCTGATGGATTAAATGAGGCTCTTGGACAACCTGGAACTGCAATAGTCAAGTTAAGAGCTGTAGAAGGACCTTGGGATGAAGATTGGCGTGTGGCAAGAGGTCGCCCTACTAATGCTGTTGTTAATCTACCAAATGCTGGTAATGGTACTACAGTAGTTGTACCTGGTATTCGATTTGGTCAAGCCATATGGTGGCTAAAAACTCATTTTCCTACAATAGAAGAGGAGCTTCGGGATTTGCAATATGGAACAATTAGGAAAGGGAGCATGACTATAGATGAATTATATAGAAAATTGTTACGAATAGGTAGACGAGCCAACTATAGGCCTGAAGAATTACGTAGAAAGTTTATAGATGCTCTTCCACTTCCATGGCTTGAAAAAACTGAAGATATTGGTGAAAATTTACCGTTAGATGAATTAGCTAAAAAGCTTTATGAGATAGAATTACGCTGAATAGCTAGAAATAAAAGAGATAGAATACCGGACCCATTAGTTTCTCAGCAAATATATGACTCTTTACCTGTTTCAACTCAGCAACAGCAAGGAATTTCTTTAGAAGATATGCAAAAAGTATTTCAGAATGCAGTAGTACAACAAAAAACAGAATTTCAATCTGTATTAGAAAAACATGATGCTGAACATAAAGCCGAAATAGAATCTATATTACAACAAAAATCGAAAAAAATACCACCACCTATACCACCAAAAAATATAGATGAAATTGATAATGCTATATTATTAAAAGAATTATATGGTATGGGATATAGAGATGGCCCATTAGTAGATTTTATGGAAACATATAAAAAGCATAGTGATGATATAAAAAGAACACATAATGATAGAATAGGAAGAGTGGAAAAAGGACTGAATGAAACTCGTGGATCTGTGAACCAATTAATCGAAGAATTTCAGAAAATAAATATAAATAAAGATAATACTGCGAAATCTAATTTTACTCGATCTTATTTCACACCTCTTAAATCTTTATATCCTCAATATGAAGATGATGATAATAGTGAGTATGAAGAAGAAAACGGCATATGGCTTGATAATGATTCTGAAAAAAAAAACGGGTAAATGAACCATATGATCAGCAATTGCCAAAGCTTTCACCAGAAATACGTAAAATGTGTCTGTCTCAAAAGGTTCAAGAGAAAAAAATCAGATGAGTGGTTTTCATCTTTACAGTACTTACATTGTAATATAAATGATTTATCAATTTCTGAATCTTTCTTAGATCCTGGATCTGAATTTGGTGCGATAAATGATCCTGCAATTAAGGCGCTTGAATGGGAGGCTGATAAACTATCTGACTTTACTATAAAGAGCAATTCCAAACATATTATTAATTCATTAGAATAGTATACGGATGTGCCAGTTATCTTGAAGGATAAAGAAAATAAGACTGTTACAGTTATTGGAAATTTTGTTCGTATTGATAATGGAGAATCCAAACCAATACTATTTTTAGGCATGTCAAATATTCGAAAAGTTCAAGGTATTCTTAATCCAAATAATAACCAATTTCGTATAAATATTCATGGTAAGTCTTATATAATTCCAACATTCAGCAAGGCCCCAGTAGCGAAGGATCCATCAAAAGAGACAGAGATCACAGAAACATTAGATTCCGATGAATTGGAAACTCGAGATTCTAACTCTTCATCTAGTGAAGAATTAAAAAAAAAATTATGTAAATCATGAAAGTATGAAAAATCGAATAAAAAAGCTTGAAAAGGCATTATTATCTAGCATTCAATCGAATTTAGAAATGATAGGATACTATAATAGTTTACTTGAACAATATGAAGCTAAGGCCTAAGAGCATGACCAGATTTTCCAATTTTTTCTATATCACTATTAGTTCTCTTAAACAAATTCAAGACATCTTCGGAGGATAATTCTTCAGTTGGTAAAATAGTTACTTTGTGACAGTCTTCAGTAATTTCGTTTTTTATCGGATCTTTGGATGTATCACCCTTATTAATAACATCAGATGAGTCAGAAATTTGAACCAATTTAGGTCTCGATTTTTTTTTCTTAATCTGCTTATTTGAAGTGTCGGTAAGGGTTTCTAGAGTGTACCTATAATTTCCTCCTTGTTGAAGACGCTTACAATTATTCCATATATCAAGAATATGCTCTTTATATATATGATAATCACCAATCACTTTATATATAGGAACTTTGTTTTTGAGCCTCCTAATTTCTTCAATCTGCTCACGAGATAAATAATATGCATTTCGACGATAATATGTTTTTAAAAATGGGGTATTCATTGGTCTAGATTTTTGGAATATTTTAGAGTAATAAAAAATGTTAAAAATGGTTATTTATTATTTGGATAAAAATGTTAAAGATAAATAAAAATTATTAACGATGAAGTGAAAGGATTTATAAGAATAAATTTTTTTTATATATAAACATAGATATAAACATATTGTGATCTATTTGAAATTTTTCATTTATCATAGATTTATATTATTAAAGATCGTTCGATAATATTTTTATTCATTCCAGAGTATTTTATATATAATACAATAAAAAAATATATTTTTTATATACTAGTAACTATGAGCAATGTATTTACTTTGAAAGATATTGAAAATAAAGCTCATTGGCTTAGTAACATTCGTGAATTAGAGCTTGAAAAAGCATTACACAATAGTATCAAATCTAACTTTGATCTTGCTAATGAATATAAGGATTTGCAGAATATATATTTGAAGCGAGAAGAGGATTTTAACTGAGAAAAAAAAAAGTGGAATCGAGATTCATTGCGTTATAGTAAAGATTTTCAAGAATTATATACTCACACTTCACAAATTATTAATGAGGGCAAACAACTTCAAAGCGAGAATACTAATCTTACATTCCAACTTATCCAATTACAAATTTCCCATACCGAGTATAAAGCCAAGTATAATATCCAATTGGAAAAAATAAAATTGCTTCAGGCTATAAACGAGATATTAAAAAATAAATTGGAATCAGCTCAGAAAGATATGCTTTCAGTTCAAGATGACTCGATCAAAAAAGAATCCGAGATATTATCTCTCAAGTATAAAATGGCAGAATTGGAACAAGAGTTAGCTTCAAAAGTTAATGAGCTGAAACATTTAAAATCAGAGAATATTTCGAAACTTGCGATTACTGGAGGTGATGAAAAAAATATACAAAGCAAGGAACAAAGTTTTATATCGAAATTTGATAATAACTCTACAGTTAATAAAAATATTTGTAATCTTGGTCCATATTTAATATGTAAAAAAAACATGGATCGAGCTAAAAAAACCGATACTATAAATCTTAACATTAACTCCGCTATTATACCAGATCACACTAATGATGAGATTACTGAATCATCAAAAATCAATTCTGAGATCAATTCCAAAGTAAATAATGAAACTAATGATAAAGATAACATATCTCATCCTAAGATTCAAGATATTGCAATAGGAAGGGTTGAGGAATTACCTATTATTGCATTGGGAGGTAGTAATGCTTTAGTTAATAATCATTATATAATTCCACCTATATTCAAGTTTGTTATTATTGCTTTAATAGTAATATTAATTATATGATATATATATAGTCAAATTTTTCGTTCAATCAAAAAGGAAGAAATTTTTTATCCAGTCTATAAAAATCGAAGTTATAGATTCCCAATCTGTTATACAAAAGAACCGAAAGAAAGAATTGTCACCTATAAAACTTTACCTTATGGATATAGATGAAGCTAATAAACATGAATCATCACGAAATATTGGACATCCAGCAATGGCATGGCCTTTCTCTAAGCTAGTTATTGGGAAGAGTGGATTGGGTAAGACTAATATCTTGACGAATCTTTTTCTTGATAATAAAGCTGAATGTATATATAAAGGTAAAAAAGGTGGTAGTAGATATAATTCTTGCAATGATTTAATCATATGTGGATATCATCCTAATGAGCCAAAATGGGCATTTGTAAGATATATGTATGGCATAATTTCAAAAGATCCGAAAGCACCTTACTATGAGAATATATGATTTAAGTATATACAGTATCACCAGAAAAAATTCCTAATGTAAAAGCATTTTCACCTGAACAAAGTACAGCGATTGTTTTTGAGGATTTGTGTCTCGCTCCAGAACATATACAGAATCGAATTGATCAATTTTTTGGGAATGGGTGACATCGGGATATTTTATGCATATATATAGTGCAGAAATATCATAAAATTACTACATTCATACGTGAAAATACCTCTCACTTAGTAATTTTTAACTCTGGTAGCTTGTATGAAGATATTTTCAAAATTATTTGACGATATACAGATGATATAAAAAATGCTTCAATGGTTATTAACACCTATCTCCGCAAAGGTAAATTTATTGTATTTGATCTAGATAGGCCTAAGTGTAACAATCTTGACCTGTAACTGTGCCACGGGACCCATACTGCGCTTAGCAACCCGGACGCCCCGGAAGGTATCTGATCTGCCCCTGACGACCTGCAAGTCTGAGACACATTCCCAGACATTTGTCAGACGCATGT